GCCATGTCGGGAACGATGGCGCCGGTACGCCGCATGTTCGGCTTGCCGCGCGGTCCGGCCGTCTCAGGCGCCGCCGACCGGTGGCTCTGCTCCACGTGCTTCACAATGTCAGTCTCCGTATCGGCCTGCTCCCCGCAGTGGTCACAAGTGAACAGTTTCCACTTGGCCGGCAGGCCTGGGCAGTTGGGGTAGTGGGTCACCATGTCGTCCGCGGAGTCGGCCTGGAACTGGCAGCCGGGCATCTGGCAGGTCAGCTGACGCTCCGTTTGCAGCGCCCGCTCCCACTTGGCCACTGTATTAGGGTGTGGCGCCAGACGCGGCGCCGAGAAGCCGCGCTTCACCGGGCCGCGTGTGCTGCTCCTCGCGGTCACCACCTCGTCCGGCTCATAGTCCGGATCGTTCGATTTCGATAGCTTGGCAGCGCTCTGCCGCTTACGTTTCTTAGGTGGCTCGCAGTCCTCCTCGCCCTTATTTTTCTCTTCTTGCTCGTGCTTTCGCATGTGATGTGGCAATGACAGAGGTTTCAAGTAATATCCACACTGGGGACACTTGACAGGATTCACATCCTTTCCACAAGTACCCTGGTGATGAAAGAAACCAAGTGCTGAAGTGAGACATTTCTTGCACAAGGGACACTGCAACTTTCCACCTGCCTTAAGGACGCGGCCAAACGCCGATAGCTTTTGGGATTTGGTAAACTCCTGGCTGTCGCCCATCTGTCTGGCGAGCCCCAAATGAGCGGAAAGTGCGTGGCGCTCAAATGCCCTCTCGATGACCCACTCCTTGCAGACGCCACACTGCACGCGCGCCACATCTTTGGCCTTCGGAGGTCGGGAGCGCTTGGTGTTGAGGGCCGCGATCAGGCTGGTGGTGGCCGATGATGTCACGGTGGCGCTGGCGGCCGCCTTCGTGAGCTCAGACGGCAGCTCCTGTTTGCTGGTCGGCGGCGTCTCGCCAGCGGTGTCCACGTCCGGCTCCTCAGAGTCGGACGTCACGCGGAGCGGCATCCGCTGCTTGCGACGACTGCCCGCCCCTCGCCGGCAGTCCTCCGACTGCGGGGCGGGCTTCGCGCCACCCGACGACGGTGCCGCACTAGCAGCAGACTTGGCCGACTTCTTCGGCATGATCAGGGCCTGGCGACAGTCAGGTTCAGTCAGACGTGAGCGATTCAGTCCATTCAACCAGAAAATGTCTCATATAACTTAGCCATATAAGACCTTTAACCTTGCATTACATGACAAAGTGACAACCACATGGCTCATGAGGGACTGACACTGTCACCTTGCACATCCATGCACAGTACTTATCTTACATTGCAGTTGCATGCTACTTTAAAGAAATACTACCCAGTTCCAGTCCCATGACATGATTTGCCACTCTTTCTGCAAGTTAAGATTCAAAATAAATAAACATTCTATTACATTGATATTCAATACAGCAGTGTCAGAAAACTATATTTTGACTTGGGTGTTAGAAATCAGGGGGGAAATTCTTCACCAAAAAGGGAAAAGAGTGGAAAATTGTCAGTCACATAATGGCCACAAAGAGTGGAAAGGGATAAATGGCAAACATTTATATAGGAATAGTATAATGTGGGCAAAACTATCCAAGCAAATGCTTTCTCTGGGTAAAACTTGGAGTGGAAAATAGCTTTTAAAAATTTGAGGTGCTAGTGAAATATGATTTTCTTTTGGATGTCCTTCCCACCAAAAGAAACACTTTCATTTTGGAACACTGCAAGTACAGTATAATTTTTGTGAGAACCAAGTAGAAACTGAAGATTTAACTGTACTTAACATTATCATGGTTGCTTGCACCTGGCATATCATATCATATGATATGTCAACAATACAAAGGTACCAGGTAAGAAAAATACCAAATATATTATTTATTATACTAAATCACATGAGTTACAGACAGTGCAGGTTACAGGTAGGTACAAATGGTATTGTCCTAATAGTACTGATCAGTGATCAAGGCCATCTATGATGGTACCCTTTTAAATGTTTGTTTAGGACTGAAGGCCAAGGCAAAATATAATTTTTCGTCAACACATTATCATGGTTGAATTATCATAAATGAATTAGAATAGGTAGTCATGATTTTTATTTTACTTAAAATCAGTTGCAACCAAATAGGTAGGTATAGCTATAGCCACAGTAAGTATTGATACCAGCTCTTCTTATCAATTGCTAATATTGATTTGAGGATCTACTATAGGCCTTAAAAAAAAACAAGGAAAATAGGCACAGAAAACAGTGCAGGACCCCACCTATCAGCATGATTATTTGCTGTTAATCTGCAGCATGGATTTTTTTTTCATTTTTTGCAACAAATCAATCATTTTACCAAAGGGGTGTTCACGGGCACCGCACACTGCTGCGTGCGCTGTGTGCGGTGCGTCCAGCAGGCGTGGGGGTAGGGGATGGGTAGGCGGTTCTAACGTCACGGCTGCGTGCGGTGGACGGTCCGCTGTGGCCAGTTCCGACCGGCCACAGCGATCGCTGTGTGCGGTGACGGAAGGCTGACGTAGGGACGCAGTGGGCGGAGCTTGGAGGCTGTGTGCGGTCCGACCGCACACAGGGCCCGTGAACAGCCCTCAGGTCTTTAGTGCCCTGATTTTACCATTAGCTTCAAGCCATTCATCGTGAACATATTAGTTAAACTGGGCTTCATAACAATAACTAATACTTCATTGTAAACTTTAAAGTAATGCTTGACTTGGAACTACTACGCATTTCAGACCCTCTGGAACAGTCCTTTTTGGCCCTTTCTCGTTACCTATACGCTTGATTTGAACCAAACTTTGACACAATGTGTTTCAAGGGCCTACCTAATTTTTACTAATATGGTCTTTTAACAAAATGTCAAAATGAAAGGCACTTGTCGTTGACTTGTAATGGTAAAAATTGATCGGAAAACTCTGCACCGTGGTAGAGGCTAGCATGGCGTAGCAGCGTCAGCTGTTGCGCCGCAGATAAGCTCCGCCCACTGCGCCGCGACACCGGGACCGGTCATTCGCCGCTCGGGGTCAGAGCGGTGCGGAGCTCTGACGGACTGGAACGAGACACACGCTAACGCAGGCATCATTGCGTGAATATTGTAAATGTCGTATCTCGCGCGGAGAGAATAAGGATGAAGAATTCAATGCAGATCGCGACGGTGTATGTATAAAACAATAAGCACTCCTAGCTACAGAATGTTATTCCCTATGCAGACTTAAAATAATCTTATTTTCAATAATTTATAGCGAGCCTCTCCGCAGCCGTTTTCCTACAGGCTATTGTGCAACGGGACAGTAACGGGACAGAATTCACCGGACTGTCTTTGCATTCAACGGCCTTATTTAATTGAAGATATCCACATAGATACTTGTAGGTATTTCGTTTTTTTTTTGTTTAAAAGAATAATTTTTTTTTGGGGGGGGGTGAAAATAATAGGTAAATCTTTCTATGACATTTCCACAATGCTTTCAGAATGTTGTTGATAGATCTTAGGCCCGAAAAACAATATAACAGGGAAAAATATAGGATGACTCAATCTGAAAATGTACATATGCAATATCGAGAGTTCATGATCTCCCGTCCTTCACTCCCCCTTGTCAGTCTCTCGTCTATACGTTTATAGTATATTGTCTCTCGTCTATAGCCTAATCTCTATCTTCGTCACTTGTCTCTGGTCTATCGTCTTCGTCCCCTGTCTCTGCTCTAGCGGCTATATGCATATTGTTTGTTGTCCACTAGCCAACGTTTACCGTTCGTCTCATTGTCACTTTGTTTCATTTTCCTTTCTCTTTCTTCCTCCGTCCTTATTTGTCGTAGAACAAATAAGGACGGAACAACAAATAAGTTCATGACATGCAAACAAGTGCTCCACTCCGCTGCGCTGCGTGCGCGGCCCGCACGCCGGCCGGCCGGACTGCGACTGCCGCCGACATGACCCGAGGCTGGACCGCAAGTGGGCGGAGCCAAGCCGCAGTGTGCTAGTGCGTCTCGACCAATCAGAGGGGAGACAGCGTCCAGCCTGTGTCAGCCTCTAAGCAGGGCTCTGACGACCTTAACATTATCAGTCAATGACAAGTGCCTTTATTTTTCATTTTTCGTTAATAGACCATATTGATAAAAATTAGGTAGGGATCTCAAACTACCAATGCCAAAGTTTGGTTAAAATCAAACGCATATACAACGAGAAATAGCCGAAAAGGACTGTTCCACAGGGTCTGAAACACATAGTAGCTATGAAGCTGTTTGATCTTGGAACTATAAATCGCATTGAGTAGGTACCTAATCTTGATACCTATGCCTTGGCAAGCCGTCCTTTGGCAGTTGGCACAGTTGACCGTTGGTACAAAATATAAGAAACTAGTTATTACCTTCGGCTTCAGATACCTATCTTTAGATGGCCTTGATCAGGAGCCTTGAGCTATGGCATAAGGTATAAGTATAAGCAAAATACCTATAAGAAACTATAAAATCAATAATAGAGTTCAGTGGAAACACTAAACTCTATAATGAGTGGAAACCACTGGTGAAAACCAACAAACCCCGCGTTCGATGTCTCTCGGACGGCGAAGATTCTACGCCGTCCGGCCAATCACGTTCCATAACCGCAGCCGAGCCCCCGCTGACCTTGAACGGGATTGGCCGGACGACGTAGAATCTTCGCCGTCCGGAGACATCGAACGTGGGGTTAGTAAGCTGCGTCATATTTGTCCTAATTTTGTTACACGCACGTGCATCCCATTGCATCCTGATTCCTGCTGCTCGTGCATCGAACGATTTTTCAAAAATATTTAAATCAAGGCTGTAAACTGGTAAATGCGGTGAATGCCGTGTACGCGTGTACGCACGGAGTTCTATAGCCTTGGTACGCACGCAAGGCCATATCATGGAGGAGAGAATAATAGAGGAGTATTCTCTCCTCCATGGCCATATATAGTACGCACGCAATACGCACGCAATACGCACGCACGTGCTCGTATACGCGCGCGTGTACGAAGCTGGTGCGTTGGCTGGTACGAAGGCTCGCTCTTGGTACCAGTTCTCTATATCAATATACCGTGGTGTAGGCCTAGAAGTGTTTTTATATATGTAAGTTCTCTGTATACCGTGTTATATACCCTTTGGTCTTTAGCAGTCATTAGACTCCTTGGCAGAGTCAGGCTGCCAATACCATGAACATTCAATTTACGATCTAATATCTTTGATTTTTTGAGCTCTCAGGAACCGCTTTCACATGTATCTCACTCATTCCTGAAGATGGTGGACGACTGTTATCTCACCCAGTACGTCAGGGAACCGACAAGAAGGTCAGCTCCCCAGCCTGCTTGACCTAGTCCTTACTAATGAGGAAGGCATGGTGAGGGATACGAGATACCTAGCACCCCTTGGCAACAGTGACCATGTGGTCTTGAGATTTGTTCTGACCTGCTACACTACTCGCAAGCTACCTCAGGATGGGAAGCTCAACTTTGCTAAAGGGAACTACGACCAGATGCGAGTCCTCCTTTCTGAGGTCAATTGGACTGCCATGCATGATGGGAACGTGCATGGTGCCTATGACTTCTTCAAGGAGACTCTGCAGAGGGTTGTGGACATTACAGTGCCCAAAATGAAACTGAATGGGAAGAAGAGAAACTTGTACATGAACCGACGTGCATTGAAACTAAGGCGCAAAAAGGAAGAACTATGGACAAGCAGTCTAAAGACCCAATCGACTTTGCTCGCTTCAGCCGCTGCAAGAATGAACTGCGGGCCCTTACTAGGAGCCTGCGGAGGGAGTTCGAGAGGAAGCTCATCGTTGAGGCAAAAACTGACCCAAAGTGCTTTTGGAGATATGCTAACTCGAGGCTCAAGACTAAGAGAGGGGTTGAAGACCTGCAGGATGACAAGGGAGCACTGATCAGCGATGACCGTGGAAAAGCTCAGCTCCTCAACGAGTACTTCACATCAGTCTTCACAGCTGAGGACCTCTCCACTGTTCCTCCGCCCTTCCCTGTCGCCAATGGGTGCAGCCTACAGTCAGTCTGTATCACCGAGGACATTGTGAAAAGTAAGCTGAAGGGGCTCAAGACATCAAGCTCACCCGGCCCTGACAACATCCATCCGAGAGTACTGAAGGAAGGAGCTGAGTTCTTGGCCAAACCGCTGGCCATCATCTTCTCCAAGTCCCTGGACAACACCTGCCTGCCAAATGACTGGACTCTCGGGACCATCGTGCCCATATTCAAGAAGGGAAACCAGCAACTGCCAAGAAACTACCGGCCAGTCAGTCTCACTGCCATTCCGTGTAAAATCCTCGAAGCAATCATAAAGGACGAGCTCATGGAACATCTGTCGGCGGGTGACTTGCTGGCTTCAGGGCAGCATGGGTTCAGGTCCAGAAGATCGTGCAACACTCAGCTTCTAGAGGTCATCAACGAATGGAGCCTGCTCATTGAGCAAGGCGATCCCATTGACACTCTGTACATGGACTTCCAGAAAGCCTTCGATTCCGTCCCACACGAGCGCCTACTAAGCAAGCTCCAGAGTTATGGTGTGACGGGCAAACTGCTGAACTGGGTGAGGGCATTCCTGACTGGTCGTCAGCAGCAAGTTGTCGTTGGTGGACAGGCTTCTGCATGGGCCCCTGTCTCCAGTGGAGTTCCCCAAGGCTCCGTGCTGGGTCCTACACTCTTCATCCTGTTTATCAATGACCTCCATGAAGCAGTACAGAGTTATGTGAAGCTGTTTGCGGACGATACGAAGATTTACCTCAACGTGTCATCTATCTCTGGGCCCATCCAGCTCCAGAAGGACCTTGACACAGCCACCACTTGGTCCGACACCTGGCAGATGCCATTCAACGCGGCAAAGTGCAGCTCTCTCCATATTGGGTCCAGCAATGGCCGTCATGTGTACAACATGAGAGGAACCGCTCTTAAGCAGTCCGACTCGGAAAAGGACCTGGGCGTACATGTTGATTCAGCTCTGAAATTTCGTGAGCAAGCTGCCTCGGCCGCTTCGAAGGGCAACCAAATGCTGGCACTGATCAGGAAATTCTTCGAAAACATCGATTCAGAGTCTCTCCCGCGCCTCTACAAGACCCTCGTGCGTCCTCATCTGGAGTACGGAAATGTCATCTGGGGCCCTTTCAACAGAGCTGACCAAAAGCTGCTGGAAAGAGTGCAGAGACGGGCCACAAAGCTCGTCCAAAACATCAAGGATCTGCCATATCCACAGCGCCTCTGCCACCTGAAGCTCCCCAGCCTTTACTACCGGAGACGCTGAGGGGACATGATAACCATCTACCAACTGATAAACGGAGGACTTGACGTCGTTCCTGATCAGTTCTTCTCGCTGGCGAACAACACCACTACCAGAGGACACCCACTTAAGCTCAAGAAGCCGCAGGCCACTTCCAGAGTCCGAAGGAACACCCTGTCAGTCCGAGCAATCAACGATTGGAACTCGCTCCCCTCGCACGTGGTCCTCTCGTCCTCCACCAACCAGTTCAAGGCCCGCCTCGATAACCACTGGAAAGACATCTTCTACACCATCCCTGATTAACTTCGTGCTTGTCCTTACATGCCCGCGAGCTCGGTGAGATCGGGACCTCTCAGGCCAAGTGGCCTTCAAAATTCCCGCTATCGGTAAGGTGAGGTAAGGTAAGGATTATTGCTTGACGATTTTAAAAATCTTGATCGGAATGTCGGCAAATTCTTGTGACTACTTACTGCACAACCATGATGCATGCATATCTTTAAATTATCTTTTTCCACCGAACACTTACCTGATGATAAAATGACTGTCACTGTTGTGTTTTACTCCCAAAATTTCCCATAAAACATGTGTCATGCTGCAAACAGTAGTTGATTTTAAGGGATATAATAGGCCTGACCTTAGCCCTGTTTCACCGGTGATAGCAGCACGCTGCTATCATACGTGTCAAATTGGGTTTCCATGGAAACATCAACAAACCATGCCGTCGTCAATCTGTGTGATGTCATCAGATATTGCTGCTAGCATCTTTGCGGCCGTGCGATCAAACAAATTTATCAAACGCAATTCAACGAGACAGCAACTCTGTTTCAAACGCAGCTCACGGATTACACGAAACGTCATTAGTGTGATGTCATCACATTACGTCAGCTCGCGCAATTTGATAGTAGCGTGCTGCTATCACCGGTGAAACAGGGCCCATGTCTTGACCCTGGCCTCTGCTTAACCCGCGCCCCAGTGGCGGTCTCAGCCAACTTCGCCCTAGTGAGGGGGGGGCATATGTTACCACCCACCTCTAACTCAAAAACTAAGAGGGCTAGAAAGACGCGGTAAAAAGCAGTCGATAGCTCTCAATGCGTACGTTTGAAAGTATTTCAGTCATTTTTCACCTTAGAGCAATATTGGGGTCACCAGAGGTCATCAAAGGTCAAAATTTGCCAATTGTCATTATATTTTTCAGAAAACATGCCGCTATCTCAGGAACTATGGTAGCTAGAATAACGCAGGGAAGAGCAATCGATAGCTTTTGAACTCTTCTTTTGAAAAGGTCATTATCAATATTGACCTCAGGTCAACGGTTTGGCCTCCAGAGGGCAAAAAGTCCAAAAATAGCTGTTTTTACGAAGTGTTTTTCGACAATAACTTTCGACTACAAAAGCCACGACATTTCTATTGCCAGAATCGTGTTCCTCTCGCCGAGACGCGTCGAATGAACTATAATTTGACCTTGAAAGGTCAAGTTAAAAATTTGACCTCAGGTCAAGGTCATGACCTTACCGGAAAAGGTCATGTTGCATATCAGTCGATGCGTCTCAACAAGGCAAACACAATGAGACCATCCCCAGCGTTCTATCTCTTTCCAATCGCGAGTTATTGGCAAAAAACTGTTTGTAGCCTCAAGTGACCTCGGATGACCTGTCTAGAGGCTATCAGCAAAAATGACACCTTGGTCATCACGAGTGGACTAAATCATTAGGATTCTGAAATATTTGGACTGTTCCGATGCGTACACACGGATCTAGAGGCATTTTCATTTTTCTCCATTGACTTGTAATGGAAAGGTTTCGCCACTGACCTGACCTTAGGTCACGGATATAAAAAATCCGAGATATACAAATTGTAGGCGCCCATAACAGCATGCAACCCACCAAGTTTGAAACCTTTCTGACAAACACTGCAGGCTGGACATTAGGGTGTTTCACTTTTCACTTTTTTTCTCAGATTGTCTCTCCTCGATCGGATTCCCATTATTTCATCTTTTTAATAAAATTTGGTGGCAATTATTCGATTTTAAACTCGATTCTAAACGTCGCGATAATTCGCCAAAGTTTTCAATTTTTGTGCCGTTCGGCGTTGAAGTCACCCATGTTAGAGCAATAGCAAGTAGGGCACTAACACCAAGAAAATACGGCCGTGCAAGAGGTGGTATTAACCGGTATTTTATGACACTGTGAAGGTTGAATATGGTACCTGCGCTTCCATAAAAGTGTCGTCGCATATTCTGGTGCTCAGATTAACATACACAGACATAACTCATTATTCAGTCAGGACACGACAACTTAACAGTAAGCAAAACACTGGTACGTCAGTGACGGCAAAACATGTATTTCGGTACCGGGCCTCAACACCGTTTCTCATCGAAGCCAGTCACAGGGTAGCCAGGGCTGCCTTTGTCATGTGTGGCACTGCACGCCTGTGCCTCTCCACAGCCTGCAGAAGCCACTGGAATTGGTCCTGCCCCTTCACATGCTGAGCGAATGTTTTCAGAAGAGGGATGCCCCTCTCCGCGGTGTCGTTCACGACTTTCACTGTTTTCACGAATTCCTTGCATAGGATGTACGCCTCGTGACCTTCCCACTCCCCAGGAGGCTTCGTCATCCACTCGTGGTCGACTCCCATCAGGTCAAACATCAGCCACGACGACGTGGTCACCAATTCTGACAGGCTGGTGGACTCATCCAGTGCGACCGATGGTGTCTGATCAGGCGCCGCGGAGCACGAGTTTGCGAGCAGGTTGACACATATGGCCTCCTTCTCCTCTTCTGTGACACGGCTGCTAAAGAGGCTGAATACTACAACTGATGGCTGCAGATACCACAAATGGCGCCGCATCACAGCGAGAGCAGCGTTCGCCACTGGTTGGTCCAACTGCCTATACCGCACCAGGCTACGGTACAGGTTGAGGTCGTTAGCGGGGGCGTCCTCTGCAACAGGGGCCTGCAGCTACGCGACGACATAGAAGAGGAGCAGGAACTGAGCCATCCGCTGCACCTTCTCCTGCATTGGCTCATCGTACTCCAGCTGGTCCGCGAACAAGAACATCTTGATGCTGTACACTTGATGCTGTACACTGTACACACTTGATGCTGTACACTGTACACTGTACACTTGATGCTGTACACTGTACACACTTGATGCTGTACACTGTACAGCATCAAGATGTTCTTGTTCGCGGACCAGCTGGAGTACGATGAGCCAATGCAGGAGAAGGTGCAGCGGATGGCTCAGTTCCTGCTCCTCTTCTATGTCGTCGCGTGGCTGCGGGCCCCTGTTGCAGAGGACGCCCTCGCTAACGACCTCAACCTGTACCGTAGCCTGGTGCGGTATAGGCAGTTGGACCAACCAGTAGCGAACGCTGCTCTCGCTGTGATGCGGCGCCATTTGTGGTATCTGCAGCCATCAGTTGTAGCATTCAGCCTCTTTAGCAGCCGTGTCACAGAAGAGGAGGAGGCCATATGTGTCAACCTGCTCGCAAACTCGTGCTCCGCGGCGCCTGATCAGACACCATCGGTCGCACTGGATGAGTCCACCAGCCTGTCAGATTTGGTGACCACGTCGTCGTGGCTGATGTTTGACCTGATGGGAGTCGACCACGAGTGGATGACGAAGCCTCCTGGGGAGTGGGAAGGTCACGAGGCGTACATCCTATGCAAGGAATTCGTGAAAACAGTGAAAGTCGTGAACGACACCGCGGAGAGGGGCATCGCTCTTCTGAAAACATTCGCTCAGCATGTGAAGGGGCAGGACCAATTCCAGTGGCTTCTGCAGGCTGTGGAGAGGCACAGGCGTGCAGTGCCACACATGACAAAGGCAGCCCTGGCTACCCTGTGACTGGCTTCGATGAGAAACGGTGTTGAGGCCCGGTACCGAAATACCTACATGTTTTGTCGTCACTGACGTACCAGCGTTTTGCTTACTGTTAAGTTGTCGTGTCCTGAATGATGAGTTATGTCTGTGTATATTAATCTGAGCACCAGAATATGCGACGACACTTTTATGGAAGCGCCGGTAACATATTCAACCTTCACAGTGTCCTAAAATACCGGTTAATACCACCTCTTGCACGGCCGTATTTTCTTGGTGTTAGTGCCCTACTTGCTATTGCTCTAACATGGTTGACTTCAACGCCGAACGGCACAAAAATTGAAAACTGGCGAATTATCGCGACGTTTAGAATCGAGTTTAAAATCGAATAATTGCCACCAAATTTTATTAAAAAGATGAAATAATGGGAATCCGATCGAGGAGAGACAATCTGAGAAAAAAAGTGAAAAGTGAAACACCCTACTGGACATGATTGCAAACTTTTTTTTAGGCTTGGTCAGTTAACTTGACCTGGTGACCTGACCTGACATGACTTGGGGTCAAAAATTTCACACATTGTCCAAAATTGATGTACCAAAAGCTACCCCAAGCGGCGCGGCGCTACGCGCCGCGGTTTTTTATTCACACGCAAAAAACGCGACAGGGTGGTAACATATGCCCCCCCCCACTGGGGCGAAGGTTAAAGGGACCCTCCCACCTTCAAAAAAGTTAATGAATTGGCATGAAAGTGATGTCGCTCGGTTCAGAAAGAGCAAAAACGCATATCTACCAAATTTCATCGAAAAATATTCACCGGTTTTCAAGATATTAGACTTATACTTTTGTTTACTTTTTGGGATCTCCGCTGTTCCTAGCGACTTTATTTGAAAGTGCGGCATTTGTTGCGCGCAAAGCAGCATATACCACCGCGTGCTACAAAACGTTTTAGTCAAACATTTAACGGACGTTCGAAAGCCTGATGACGTCATCAGATTCCCGTAATGGTTAAGAGATAGGGACCACGCTGGTCCCACCCTGCAAGTAAAGGGAAGAAATTTCTTGAACACCATAAAGCTGCGGGGGTTGCGACCAGGATAAATGGTGGTTTCTGAGCCTGGCCGCAAACTTGGCTATCTCAACTCAAAACTAATGTTAAGGTGGGAGGGTCCCTTTAACTGAATCCCAACAGGCAACATGAATCTGTCACTACTCACTAGCATAGCATTTACATGAAGGATTTTGCACAGTCTTGACAGATAAAGACTAGAGATGTACTGTACAAGGTTGTGGTCCATGCTACTGAACGCCCAATTTCAGCTGTTTGACCTAACCTTGATCCAACCTGTGAACTCAAATTTCAACTTTCAAGTACTCATCTGAATTGTCTTGTCACACTCTTTCATTTGCTGCCTGGTCTGTTTCGCTGCACCTCTTGGTTCTTGAGTTACTGGTTTGGGGTGTTTACTGTTTACCCCCCCCCCCCCGGCAAATGGCAGGTGAAAAAAAATACCTCAGCAACAGCCAAGTTAATGTAACTTGACAGTTGTCTGACCTTTTCAGTGCAATGGAGCCTGAAAATATTGAGGAATACGTGGAAGAAATTCAGCATTTGCTCTCTCATTATTCATGGCTTTTTGATTTCAAGATGACCCAGATGTTATCTGGAAATGTGTTTGATTTAATGCCTGTACACTGGTTTGAATTTGGCAAAGATGCAGCTGTGGAAGTATTACATGATGTAGCGGAGGGAACTCCTAAGGTAGGTAATTATAATCCCTATTTCCCCCCCCCCCCCCACACAATTTCTGCATGCTATGATCTACTTACAACTTTGAACTTACCATGCCCGCTGCTCATCCTGCAGGACAACTGGCCACCGGGATTGGCTTCGTTTGTCGGCCGTTGTGGCCGTCTGCGGCCATTGCAGCTGCGGTGCGATGAGCCGACCAACGAGAGTCCCCTGCCGGAGGCGCTGACGCGCGGAGTCTCGGCCAAGAAGCGGCACGAGTTGCGTCGGATGGTGCCAGCCGTGGCCGGGCTGTGCACTCGGACAGGCTTACATCTGGTGATGGACGTCGGCGCAGGGTTGGTGAGTACTGAATGGCGAGGTCAGAGGACTCCAGTCACACTCCACGTGGAACTGTGATGATAGTCTGCTGCTGGGTGATGACTCGCCGCGGGGGTTCCGGCAGGGTCACCTGGCCGAGAGTTTGCGGCAGTCGACGCAGCTGCGTATCCTTGGTGTGGAGCGAGACGCGTCGCTGTTGGAGGCCGCTGGCCGCCGGCGGCGGAGGCTGACTGAGTCGGGCGCCGCCGGCTGTCCCGCCTGCTTGCGGATCGTGCGCTGCGAGGTTGCCGACTCGGACTCGGGTCAGCAGCGGCTGCAGCGGCTGGCTGCCGAGTTCGCCGCCGACCGGTGCGCCTGCCGGGACGCCACTCAGCAGCCGACTGGCGGCTGGTGTCTGACCGGCCTGCACTGCTGCGGAGACCTCGCCCCACAGCTGCTGCGGCTGCTGGTGCGGCTGCCCGAGGCACGCGCGCTGCTGCTGCTCTCGTGCTGCTACCACAAAGCGGCGGACGGTCGACTGCTGAGCCGGCGGCTGGCGACGGTGCGGCTCGGCCACTTCGGACGCCGCCTGGCCTGCCAGCAGTCGGTGTCTGCCTGGTGCCACCAGTCGGCCGCCGATCACGCGCGGCATGCTACTGCTGTCGGCTGGAGAGCTCTGCTGGAGGTGGTCGCCCAGCGGACCGGCCTCACTGTCTCGGATCGGCGCCGCCACGGCACGCACCGGTACGCCAACTTCGCAGAGTACGCGGCCGCCATGTTGGGGGCCGCCGACGACAACGCTGACTGCGACCAACGGCTGCTGCAGTGCACGGCGAACGATGTCTTTAAACAATACGGAGCTCAGCTGCAGTGTGTCGAATTCCTGACCGCTCTGCAGGCCTGTCTGCAGCCGGTTTTGGAAGGACTGCTGCTGCTCGACAGAATGCTCTTTCTTCGCGAGCACGCCATCTCAGCGGAGCTGATGCCGCTGTTCGAGGACCAACTGTCACCAAGAACTTGGGCATTGATGGCATGGAAAACGTGAGTACAAACATCGGGGATGCCCCTGCCTCCAGGACAAGGTTTGTGCTTCAGTATTTTTTTTTTTGTATTTTAAACTGGTCATTGGAGCACTGGTACAGATGTCTGACAGAACACCACTTAACAAATGACACTAGTAGTTAGAGATATTATCTTTACATTATTTTTTTCTTCGCCAAAATATGCCATTTTTGCGACTGAAATTATGACAAAACATGTGCCGAAATCGTGAAAACTTGTTAATTGGACCACACATTTTTTTCCTGCATAATTCGGCCTTTTTTATGCGACACGGACCTTACCTTTTCCACTGACAGTTGTTCGCACTTCGTTCTGGATAGACCGATTGTAAAACAGCCTGGATACCATAAGCCGCGACCGATTTTCTTTGGCGAGGCGTCGTCTTATGTCCGTCTGCACATCGCGGTAGAGGGAAAACAATCTTGACTCGACCTCAATGCTAGTGACTGGCGCGTATTTGAAGCAGGCCATGTGTTCCGGCGTCCTTGTGGGCGGTAGCACCGCACTGGAATCTTCTTCCCGCAGGGTGCTATTGATGACATTTAGCACTGCGATATCCGGATTTCTCGGGAGAACTCTTCGAATGTCGCCTATAGTTTCTACTTTCTGCCCTTTCTCACCTGGTATCCGACTACATATTTTTTTCGATTTGTCCATCAGGGACAGTGCACCGTGAACCGACTGCGCAGCCTTTTCCAGCTTCTTTAGAGCTGCAGGAATGAAAGTCAGATTTGCCGGCAAAAACGCCGGATCTCCACTCAGCACGGTATCCTGCACGGCCACTTTCGCTCTCTCGATGGCAGCCGCTTCTTGGAGTCTAGTCTCTCTAGCACGGCCCGAACACGGAGACCCCCTAAGCGGGAGGTCTGACCGAGTGTATTTTGGGCCTGAGTGCCGCTTTTCCCGACGGATCGTTTTCCAAACTTGAGATGTCTAAAATATTTGAGATTATGTTAATTTTTTTGGGATTTGCATTTTATGGATTTTATGGGATTTTCCTCCGAAGTCATATTTGTGTACAAAAAAAAAAAAAAAAAAAACGATACGTGATCACATGAAATTTGAAAATCCGATCTCCACTATTAAAGAGCTCCATAGTAAACTATTGCAATCCGCACGCGCTGACACAACCTCTCATCATCTTGCAGTTTGCACGGCACCTTCAGGTCCATCTGACGCAACACATGGTGGATTATGCTCTTTAAATGGACGTCACTCTTCGCTTGTTATCCTCCTTGATATGCATTCTGCTTATCCTGGCCCCAGAAGTTCTCGATCAATCGCAATTGATGTACCTACGTTTGGAAGGCTCTCTTGGCAGGCGACAAACGGCACGTACGCGCTCCCCAGCAGTTACAGAGTTACTCATACCTAGTGAGCCACGGCGCGTTCTGGCTAGAACACGTAATCTGTTTGGGTAGTGATGTGTCATATGTGACTGGAAAGAGCGCATTCTAGATGCATTTCTCTCGATGAACCTTACCGCTGACATTGGCCCGACTTGATATATCACGGGCTCAGAAATCGGGCTTCATTACGCCCTGCGTTTTTTCCTCCGTCGTCTTCCTCCAAAATGTGTTCGAATGATAGTAGCAATAAGTGTACTTGCTAAAACTTGCTAGTAGCTATTCTCCTGCGAACTAGGACCAATTGCCAGCAGCTCGCATATGCTGTTGGCGATAAAGGCGTCTTGTTCGAAACTTGTTGATAAAGGCGGAAACTTGTTCACCGTTTCTTCACCCATTTTAGCCCTGAGGACGTCACATCACACCCTGCGAATTAGGGCCGGCTTTGGTGTCCTGCTGCTTTTGGTTGTCTCTTGGCCTCCTGGTGCGATTTTTCTATTCAAGCATGACGTTCTTGATTCAGTATTGTTGTTCACATAGCTTGGCGATATCTGGAAACGGTGAGCCATTGTGCACAGCGAACGATGTGACCTGTGCCACGGCGAGTCGAGCCAGAGCGGGATAGTGTCACCGCTGAGCGTTCGGGATTCGCCACAGTCGTCACCACACAACAGGCCGAGGCGAGCCTTGATGCGGGACCGTGTCCTCCAAACGTCAGTCCGACAGGATTGAAGATGCATTCGACACTCTCCAAATAGGTTTTACCATATAAACAGTGATGATTCGCTTGTTAGTTTCGACAAGGTGAAGAGCAGTTCGAATAAGACAGAAAAACGTACAGAAGAGCGAATGATGCAGATAGGTTGATTTAGTCAATGCCCAATTGGAAACGATGATCGCGGGATAAACAAAGGTACGCAACTCACTATATCATTAAATAGCCGATCAATAAGAATGACTCAAGCTGAGCCATCTAGCGGATGGCGGCGAGCCTCCGCTCGGGGCACAGCCGTCGGTAGCGACGGTAGCGACGCGCTGCGTCGGGCGCTACATCAGTGCTAGTTACATCGGTGCGCTACATCAGCGATATGCCGCGGCGTTGCGCTACAATATCTATTTAACTCTTTTTCTATTTAGTCCAAACGGTTTGAGTAGACGAATTGGCTAAGCAGAGCTTGTAGCGTGGGTACCTACTGGTCGGTGGTTACGACCATCCGAGCGGGAAATCGTCGACTGAATGCCCACCAGAACGTCGAGGCCGTCCAGTGCGCTGGCGCGGATGGTGTCGGAGCTGGTCACTGCAGTACCGGTCGTCAGGAAATCGGGGTCAGCTTCGACTTCCGCTGCCTGCTCCCGACACGATACGCCAGACATCGCGGAATCCTTTCCTAGGCGCTGACGGACCTCCACGGCATCCGGATGCGTGTTGGGGCCGCACATGCTCCGCAGCTGACTGAAGGTATTCTCCAGACAGTCCTGGTTGAGTCTGGAGGTGATGATGTACGTACTTCAGATGACCCGGTTATGCCGAGGTCAGGTCTTCGTACAGCCGGCCCAGTGCCGCTGGGCTCCAGCGCTGGAACAGGGCGGACGCCGGGCGAGGGCGGCGCCCGGTGCCAACCTTTTGCGCATTGGAGGTGAGATGGTCTATGTCGCTCAGCGTGGCTTTTTCAGCGGCAGATTCCATGCCCAGAGCTATTTCCTCAGCTCTGGAAAATGCTTGGTCCTTAGACTCAGTCAACAGCTTGTTATGAATTAAAGCCGGTCCTCGCCGTCCGGAGCCGGTCCAACCACAAACCAGCCTGTTCCTGGGAGCCTGATCAAGAAAGTTTTGAAAATTGCACGCACCGGACAGCTTTCTAAGACCCAAAATGATTGCTGACATCTCCCCCCCCCCCCACTGTGCCCTTAAGTGAAACTGGAAGCGTTCCACATGGACCAGTGGCTGCGGGCTGAGCTGAGGTGTCTCTGGAGCACATTCATCAGTTCTTCCAGTGTTTTCGCTCGGGTTTTCAGGGTGTTCCGGTCTCGGCCAGACCTCCGGTCAGTCTATGACCGGACCTGCGCTGCCCCGACACGCGCAGCACGCACACAGCCACACGCGTTGAAAGGTCGGAGCAGACTCAGGGGCGTAACCTTTTGTTTTTCTTGGGGGGGGGGGAGGGGGCACTGCTGTGAGGGGCGCCTTTTTAACGGCATGGGGGCGCCTCCCTGTGTCGTTGTGGGAAAAGTCTAAATTCAGTTTACGGCCACATTTTTACCAGTTGTTTTTGTACCGTTGTGTTTTGGTGCGTTCAGTGATATTTAATCAATATGTACGGCCCTCCAGCAAAAGAGTGGTTGGTTAGCCTATGTGCTTTTGGTGTAATAACTTTGAATGACAGAGACACTCCTGTAAAATGACTCAATAGAAATGAGAAGAGGGTTCGTGCACACACTTCGGCAACGGTTTTCAACAGCCATTAGACGAATTCATCAATGCAGATTGCTTATTGTGATGTTGGCAACCAACCACTAAATACCTGGAGGGCCGTAACTAGTAGCAATAATGCACTTTATATTCAGAACTGCTGTCACCTATCATGTTCCAAAACATAAACAATTTTCTTTTCTTTTCATCATCGCTTTGATACCGATTTCCAATATCATATACATTTTTCTCCAGGTAGATGAAACACGAGAGGGATCATTATGCTTACTTTTCCAACCTCTTGCCGCTGCAGCAACTCGTCCCTCCGTGTCCGCCCACGCCAGCACGTCATCCAGATAACTGACCTTGCCGGACAGACCTGCCGTTATCTGGTCGATCACGGACTGGGACAGCGCTCCGTACACCGAGATCCCGTATGGGAGCCTGTTCAATGTGTTCATACGGTAGTCGCTGCGGTGTTGTGTCACCGTAGTCTCGTTTTTGCTCGTCTTGTCGAGCTCCACCTGCAGGTATGGACTTCTGCAGTCTAGCTTCGCCAACCGTTTTCTCCTGATGCCGGAGAACAGCTCCTCTGCTGTCCGCATCGAGTACTTGAGCGGGCTCAGCTGGGGGTTGACCGTCAGTCAGTAGTCCGCGCAGATGCGCACACCGTTCTGCAGGGGGAGGGTGGTGTAGCCGTGCAGGTTCGCGGAGAAGTCTTGCAGGAACGGAATGGGGTACCGGTCCGGAACGGTGACGGCGTTCAGGGCGCGGTAATCGCCACAGCGGCGCCATTGTCCGGGTTCCTTCTTCGGCTCTATGTGCAGGGGTGCCGCCCGGCTGCTCTTGGGCGGGCAACCCCGAGGCTGATGAGTTTGTCAAACTCCTATCGAGCGATGCGGAGGCGGTCCGGTGGCAATCGCCGAGGATGTCCCACGCGCGGAGGTCCGCGTGTCACTATATGGTGGGTGACACTATGACGCACCGGCAGGAGTTTGGCAGAGGTGGCCGTCACACGAGGAAACTCTCTGAACAAGTCCGAGAGAGTGGGCGCTGCGCACATGCGCACTCTGACAGAGCCGATGTCGACTCGGGTGCCCACGACGCACGTTGTGCCGTGTTCAGCCTGGAGGAGCTGACGGCGCATGTCCACCAGCAGGCGATGATGGGCGAGAAAGTCCGCTCCCAAGATCGGCATGGATACGTCGGCGACTAGGAAAGTCCACGGATAGTCTATCGTGCCGAAGCGTACCGAAGTCGAGACGGCGTCATGTAGTTTTATCTCGGTGCCGTTGGCGGCTTCAAGTCTTGGCGCGTCGGGCTGCTGCACAGTAGTGCCGTCGGCCACGACTCGTGGTGGAACGACACTCATTTGTGCGCCGGTGTCGACGAGGAACCGCCAGTTCCGGTCGAGGTCGGTAACGTAGAAGAGGGGCGCCAGTGTTGGCCGGCCCGTCTCTGCTGGCGCTAGCGCGGACAGGCGGGCTAGTTTTCCGCCCAGGAGCACGGCGGTCTGCAGTGGTGGGCCTCCGCGCCGTACTTCTGGTGGTACCAGCAGTACCCCTCAGCCGATGACACCGACGCCGGTTGAGAACCGCCAGACGACGCAGGTGCGGGTCGGCGCGGACGGGACCGGGAGCGGCCACGCGGAGGAGCGCCGGCGCCGCCCCGCTGGAAGACGGCTTCGATGCGTGCTACCGCAGCGGTGAGGGCGGTGACGGCAGCGGCCATGCCGGAGTTACCGCACCCGCAGGCGGCGGGCGGTCCGGTGGCGGCCACCGCGCTGGCCGGCGGGGCGAGCATGACCCTAGGGCCGGCCGGCGGGCCACAGGCGGCAGCGACGCCGGCCGTCGGCGTGCAGACGGCGGTGACAGCGGCTCCACCAGAGGCTTCCTGGAACCGGTCCGCCGCGCTAGCCAGGTCTTCATTGCCAGTGTCTTCCGGCATCAGCGCGAGGGCGGAGCGGATCGTCGGCGGCAGGCGCTGAAAGAACAGCGTCCTGCCTCTGAGAAGGCCGAGATCGTGGCCCGCGCTGCCCAGCATGTGCTGCATGCTGTGCAACAGCTGCGTGGGCTTTCTGTCGCCCAGCTGATGGTCACGGAGGAGTGCCTCGGGGCGTGAGGCGCGCGACTGGGCCAGGCGCGTGCTCAGGGCCCTCTTGAGGTCGGTGAAAGAGCCGGTCTCGGCCGTGACCACGTCTCGGACCTGTGATGCCATGTGCACCGGCAGGTTAGCCACTAGGAGCCGGAACTTGTCGCCGTCGTCGCTGATGCCGGCGACCGCGAACGCGCATTCAACCTGCACTAGCCAAAGTTCTCCTTCCTCCGGTGCGTAGGCCTGGATTCTGAACGACGCGAACGGCCGCGTCGGCGCGTCCTGTGCGGCAGCCTCCGGCCGCTCGGGCTGGGCCGGCGGAGGCATGGTCGCTATAATATCACTCAATGACACTTTATGTACAAAGAAAGACTGTTGGTAGTTGTGAGGCGCTCGCTGCGCTCACTGCTGGCGCTGTACTACGATAGTGCTCACCGCGCAGCCTCGCGATAGCGCTCGTTGCACCGAGGCTGGGCTACGTCACCAGCGCACTAGTCACTGTTCGCGGCAGCTGAAGCCGGGTGAATGTCACCCATTCTTGCCGAGGCGATGGGGAGGCCAGGTCAAGGATGACCTCTTCTTGTCGGGGCGGAGGTGAAGACTTCTCGAGCTAGCCGATCACGTCGGGGTCCCCATTTGTGGCTGGTGCCGTGGCGAGTCGTGCTGTGAGCCAGATTAAGCCATTCCAGTGTTTAGGATTTGCAACTTGGGATTCCACACAACGACAGGCTGGAAAGTGCCTTGATGTGAAGCCGTCTCCCCCAAACACTCAGATCGACCAAGGATAGCGATGTATTCGAGTCAGTACGAACAAGCTATATGGTGAACAGAGCGAGGAAACACTAGTTAGTTTTGACAAAGTTAAGAGCAGTACGAAGCAGTCAGAAAACGTATAACAGCGCGAGAGATACATTCCAGTAGATTGACTGACCGCCCACACGAGGATTACGATTACACAGTAAAGTGCATAGTGCACAGTGCAGTAAAGTTGGTGATAGTCTAGTCCGTCGCGTTCCTCAAATAAACTGTTGCACCACTTTCCACTATACATATATTGTCTGGCCGAGATAATGAGTCCGAGATGAAGAGCCGAGAAGAAGAAGTAAAGATCAAAAGTGACCGGAGATGGAGCGGCCCTCGCACGGTCCGAGTCCGTTGACAAGAATTGACTGTCCTCGACTGCCGGGGGCTTCGGCCCGCTCCGCTTCGGCGCTCTCACCACACACAGCATGCATTACGTGACACATGCACGTCATATCACGGGTCAATAGGAAGAGGATAACCGTATAAGGCATCGAAGCGAGGAGGTCGGGCGGAGTGACAAGGAGGCTAGAGGAAAGGGTTAATTAAACTTTGTTACACGTCGGCCTGGACTCGTGGTGGGATGACACTCACTTGTGCGCCGGTCTCGACGAGGATTCGGCAGTTCCAGGCGAGATCGGTGACTTAAGGGGCGCCAGTGTCGGCCGGTGATAGCAGCAATGCCCCTCGTCCGTCGCCGCCGGTTGAGCGCTGCCAGACGATGCAGGTGCGGGCCGACGTGGACGGGAGCGGGAGCGGCCACGCCGAGGAGCGTCGTTACCGCCCGGCAACAGCGCGAGGGTAGCACGGACTGTCGGCGACAGGCGCTGGAGGAACAGCGTCCTGAGTAGTCCCAAGTCGCGACCTGCACTGCCTAGCATGCGCTGCGTGCTGCGCAGCAGCTGCGTAGGCTTTCGGTCGCCTAGTTGCTGGTCTGTGAGGAGCGCCTCGAGGCGCGAGGCACGCGACTGGGCCAGTTGTCAAATGTTACGAAGTGTTCCGCCTTTTACCCTTACCGTGAGCGGCAGTACCATTCACGAGAGCGATCACGTCAAAAACTTGGGCGTGGTGATGGACCGCACGCTGTCTTACGAGTATCATACGAGCTTGTTGATCAGCTTGTTGCACGATGCACTGGTGTCTTCTTATATGTCTTAGTCGTGCCAGATATAGACTACCGAAAGAGACTCTCATCTCAGCACTATTGTCAACGCATTGGTTCTGTCAACCGTGAGATACATCCTGCCACTGTTGTCGCCCTCTTTTCATCAAGGCCCTGTGTGGAGCCCATAACACAATGATCACGCAATTCCCTCTCAGCCTCCGCCGGGGTGTAGTCGTAGCGCCCAACCTGGACTTCATGCCGTCTCAGGAAATGTTAAAAATCATCGTCCGGATACATGGTCATCGCGCATGAAACTCGGACCGCTCCGTAATCACATTACGCACCGGGGTCATGTACTTACGCGAGTAGTTTCGACTTACAGCTCTCAAAGGTATTACCCTCGACACGTCCTTCCGGCTCAGAAAGCGCTTCATACGTGTCCGCAACATCATCGCTGACGACATGAGGAGAATCGCACATTTTCTCACCGGTTCCGTTACATCATCGCAGCGAAATAACGTTCAACCATCGGTATCCATTTCCGAAGGTTATCCCAAAGCGCCTTAGTCCACTTACCGCTTTGGATTGCCGCAAACATCACAGGGGTTCTCCGCCACGCACGTGCTCGGTTCACCGTAAAAACGACACAAACAAGCGCGGGTTGTCCACCTTGATCAACCTGCGACCCTGCCACGGCCGGTGACAGTCAACACCGCTCTGACATGTCCCGCTCAACTTGCCTGTGCCCGTCAGGAACTGTCGATACCGTCACCAGTCTTTGGTTCTACAGCATTTTAGGCGCAATTTCAAAAAGTTAAAGACCAAATTCAAAACGTTCACGTGCAATTTGAATGTAAACTTTTTGAATTTGGTCTTTAAATTTTTGAAATTGCGCCTAAAAAGGTGTAGTCCTTGAATCTAGTGGGCTCTCTCTTTTGACACATTTGCTCTAATAGTATGTGACGTTATGGGCGCCAATGACCCCAGTAGACGGCGCGCCCTAAAGCTCCAATAAACAAACAAACAAACCGTCACCGCCTCTGGTGCACCCTTGATCGCCTGCACGATTGTCATGCGATTCAGAGACTCAGCCGTCAGTTATAGCATGGCTTGCTGAATCCGAATCTTCAGTGCTTCCACGTACTCGCGTGGAGTCTCGCCTGCCTGCAGACGACGCTAGTTCAGCCCGTGAAGAATCTGACCCTTCATCACTTCCGGCGTGAGGACATGTAGCACCTTTTCTCCCGCAGCACTGACTGAAGCATCCCGTTCAGCAGTCTGTACCTCCCCCTCAACCCGGTCGGCCACCCAGGCCGCCCGCCTACACGAGCCGATGGCGTAGCAGATTAAGCCCCGGGCCACCACGCCCGAGAGGTTTTTCGGGCTAGCATAGCGCCGAAACTGTTCAAAGATACGCCGTGGATCGCCGTATTCGAACACGGGGAGGGGGTCAGGTGTGATTCTTGAATTATGTGATGTGAGACAACTGTAATGCAAGGGAAACTTTATCTACATTGCTGTGTACCGCCGTAACGATGGTGTTGTACGCTACCTACGTTAACCCGCGCACCGACGGGGGGGGGGGATATCCGCCCCCCTTAGGTTTTTCGTAGATGCGCCGCGAAATTCGGTACGACTATTCTCTCATCAATTTTACACATGGTGTGCAAGTTTGAACCTCCTAACTTTCAAGGTCAGGTCACCAGGTCACTTTGAATGACCCAACCTCAAATCACTTTTTTGCAACTTTGTCGCCGTGCCAGAGCTGCAGTAGAGCTACAGTCTTTGTCGGAGGACTTTGAAAGTCGCAGGATGTTATAAGGTCATTAGTAGCTACAATTTGTATATATTGGAATTTTGATATTGATGACCTAAGGTCAGGTCAATTTCTCGACCTCCCCATCATAAGTCAATGGGGGAAAAATCAACTCCCTGTTTTTACCACTAAAACGGGTCGGAATGGCCCCATAAACCATACATGACTTCATATACGATCAACCTTCACTACCTTGAGGTCTGTTTTGCTGTTGGGCAACTGTAAGGTCATGTGACGTCATCAAAGGTCACCAAAGGTTTTTTGCCAATAACTCCGTACAGGAACAAGATACAGCCGCGCGGATGGTCTCATTGTGTTCAGCTCGTCAAGGCGCATCGAATGATATGCATGATGACCTCGAGGTCACGTGACCTTAGGTCAATCTTTGACCTTGACATTTCGAGGTCAACATATATCATTCGATGCGGATTGACACGAGGTCACGTGACCTTAGGTCAATCTTTGACCTTGACCTTTCGAGGTCAACATATATATCATTCGATGCGGATCGACAAGAGGATACGATGATGCCCTTAGCTTGTTCCTATCTTGACTAGTTCGAAAGTTATTCGAGAAAAACTCCCATATCTAGCGCCGCCATTTTGACTTTTTTGACCTCTGTGACGTCATCTTTGACCTTACCTGAAAATGACCTTAGTAAAAATTGTAGACCTTGTCCGTGCGTATCAGATGCCGTTTACCGCTTGTCGCTATCTTGCTTCGTTCTCGAGATCTTAGGGGGGGAGGGGGTTATCCGCCCCCCCCCGTCGGTTCTAAGTTGGCGCAGACCCCCGTCGGTGCGCGGGTTGTCTTGAACAGCTTCTTACAGTGATGTAAGCGCTAGGCGGTTTTCTTGAGCAGTTATTCTAGTTGCATTGAGCACTTTGAAGGTCCCATTAAGTTAATGAGCTATGACCAAGTCTTTCTGATTGAGAAGAATTACGTTTTCAGTAGTGTTTGATCTCACTTTCAGTGGCGGTATTAAAATTCAGCGGATGTCACTAGCCATGCTATCTGTCTGCTGGGTCCTCAGGGGTAACCTTTTTACTAATAGGTACCTGTGGTGGCGGGCTGTCCATAGCTAGAAAATAGAGCGGGGAGTGATGTGACCTAATGTGCTTGAATTCCCCTCCTTAAATGAAGTTCTATGGTACTTACCTAACGTAGCCAGGTCACTTGGGCATGGAAGGGCACTCCTGCATACCTGTTCCACTATGTTTCACATGGTGGACAATTCAATAGGCATGGGACAAAAAAGAAGCGTTACCAAGACCGTCGATAAGACCACGTTTCGTCCGTACTTTAAGCGGTTCAAGCGGTAGAATGCGTTTGGGGCGTCTGTTACGGAAGCGACGAGCGGGGTTTAACCGGTCGCCTCTATCATTGGATGCATTAGGATACAACAGATCCGAAAAAGGATTGTTGCAGACCGTTTGCTTCGCTGTTAATTTCGACGAGCGCTGCTTCAAGCTCCTTCAGGTTTAGTTGGAACATGGTTTCAGAGGTGGCAATGTCAGTGGTGTTTACGTTATTGCGTCTTATTTCAGAGGCAAGTCGTTCCAGAGACGTTTGAGCAGCAGTTAAATCACGAGTTTGTCTTCCGAA